TATTGATGTTTGTTAGGAGGAATTTTGGCCCTGCCTCCGATGTAATGGATGCATTTTCTAACAGAACAATGACAGCAGGATTGAGTTTTGTATGTTTTGGAAGTGATGTGGGGAACTTTTGAACTTCATCCAAGTTTTCTTCATTTGAAGTTCTGAATGGTGATTTTGTTTGAGTTGACTTTGTTTTGAGAAACTCTTCAGAAATTTCTGAAAACAGACGAAGACTTCTTAGAAACTATGGACACAGGTGGAAGTGGTTTACAGGGTACTTTCTTAGACCATACCAATTTAATTACTAGTAGTCGGTACATTCTTGGATCAAATTAAGAAAGACTGAAAAATCAACATGAGAACAGAGACTGAGGGGAAAGTCTGTACCTTGGGGCACACAGTTTCTGGGAGGGAAAATTTAAGGTGCAATTTTTCCTCCCAGCCCTCTCTTTCATATTAACCTTGTTACTCCTTTTCAAGTTCAGGAGAACCCATTGGTGTGGCCCTGTGTACATAAAAATGTACATGTAAGTTAGTCTGTAATGCTGCTGATGTTTACAGATTGTCAGACTATGATATACCACAGCCACAGGCCACAGGGTAGTTAGTGTCTGTCTCTGCACAGGAGCCACTGGTATGTAGCTGTCACAGTGGGCTGTGTTAGATGGATGAACGTTTAACTCTGTCTGTTACCAGGCATGTGTGCCATATTGTATCTAGTAGTAGTGGTTCATATTGTACATAAGGTAGCTAGCTCTCATACAGGAGCTAGTCACACACTATATATTGATCACACTAATGACACACAGTTGGATAGATGGCCAAACTGTCTCTTGGGTCTAGGATCTGTGTTTTATAAAGCTTTAGCCACCCAGACACTACTGGCCAGGACTGGCACACTGGACTGAACAGTTTTCTGTGTCAGATTCAGAGTAAGACTTAGTTGCATTTTCCCCTTGCTCTACATAGTAAGAGCATAGTAGCTGACCAGGCTGTCACAGCACACCAGTGGGCAGTTTATATTGTAGATGACTGATGGCCTGCCCCAGTTTGCAGACATAGATGGATGGTCCATACCACCATGTGTCCTGCACAGGAGCCACACAGTAGCTGCCCAGGCTGTCACAGTGGACAGTTTGCTGAGTTATAGATGTCCCTGTAGTCCCAGCCTTCTGCCCTGAACAAACATGTCCTTCTTTATCAGACAGCACCAAATAAATCTCCAGGACTGGAGGAATAAATCTTAACTCAAGGGTTGGGACACATAAATCTGCAGTATGTTGAAAGGAGACTTGTGCCTTACAACAACACTGTCCATCATTCCTGGGCATGATATACAGATACTAGTATTGCCAGTGTTATAAATTAGCAGGTACTCAGGTGCATGTATACTGGCAGTGGACAGTATTTTATGCACATTCTAATATGAAGGTTTTTATTAACCTTTCTCCGGCTTCTTTTCTCATCAAGATTACAAATCAGAGAAAGATGCTGTAGGGGTGTTGTAGCAATATTGCAGTACAATGATATTTTCTTCTTGTAGTTCCGCTGTCTAAATTTAAGAACAAGACAAAAGAATAGACCAGACTCCTACAACACTCTATCCTTGCTTTGCATTTCTGGTGTGTTATGGTATGAGGAAGCTGGGTCTATATCTGTCCTGGTACAATTCCTGTGTGTCATGTGTAACTGGGACATGTGGACAGTATCAACTTACACAAAACTGTCTCAGGTTACACAGGCGAGTGTCAAGTCAAACTGCCACATTTGCAGGAGAGTAGAAATTAGCCAACTACAGAGATAACATGTCAGGAGAGTTGGTCCTCTAGTGTGACAAAACGTATAGTACTCTCTAGCGAACCAACTCCGGGCGGCATGTTATCTCTCTATTTGTACCTAAATTTCTGGTAGAGGCTGACGGTTACCATGGTACCCAAACTGTCTCCTGTGAATGTTGAAGACTAGTTTTGCTCCTCGCTGTCCGGTCCGGTTCCGAACACATCACAGATTTCCCCAGGATGATGCAAGACCCGTGCAGTCATGTGACACAGACAAGCACGCCTGATTTATGGTCGTCCCAGATGGCCCGTTGCCATGGTGACGGCTTGATGGATGGTTGTGTCAGGCGGACAGGCTGAGTAACCTCCAAGCAGATGCAGGGTTGCTTTTTTCATTCCTGTTCTTGTGAGGAATCAAATCACTAGACAAAGTGCCAAGAAATGTATGAAAAATATCTCATGCCATACATGAACATCTCTGCTTGGAGATTGAACCTACAGCTTACCATTGATCATCATAATTTTGTAGGTATAAGTCATGTAGTACCTTTGGCAGATCCAGGGATGGAATCCTAACCATACTAGCCTATAGTAAGTTTGTACAACCTGTACAGGTTTGTGTTACCTGCCTAGACTCTAGAGTAATATCACAGAGAAGTGTTTTCATTCTTTTATCTCATCAGTCATATTCATGTCGACTGAAGTGTTGTCTGTTTGCCTGAGGGAAGGTTGTATATTGAGACATATTGCCCTAGTTAACACAAGTGGTCCCATACATCACACTCAGCCTGTTACAGACATGTACATGTCAGCTTGTAGGAGTCCCTGGTGTAGAAGTGAAAGCTGCCTGCAGAAGTGGGTCTAGAAGGTCGATTTCCCAGTAAATACTGACATTTTGTACTGAAAACTTCCAGCAGGTCCCGTCTCAGTCCAGGAGAACTCTGTACTTCTGTAGTACCTAAAACTGGAACTGGAGCAAAGTTGGATGTGAAATTTCCCAGTAAATACAGACATGTCGGACTGACACCATCATCACACGAGTTGCCGCCTACATGTATGTCTGTAAGAACTGTTACACACTGTACCTACATTGGAACTGGTACAGCACACAGCGTAGGATGCAAAATTTCCCAGTAAATATAGACATGGCTGACTGACACAATCATCACATAAAGCATCAGTCTAGTGTGCTCTGAGGTTTGGGGTGTTACTCACAGAGTCACAGCAATTTTGATACATTACAACCCACCACGTAAACAAACCAAAAGGTACATGTAGATGTAGATTATATAAAAGAAACTATCTTGCCACAGTCCAACACCAGTATTATTAATGGCATATTATTCTTCAAATTGTTGTTTTCTTCAATGGTTTAAAGAGACTGGAATTCGATTAGGACTGACTTGCCAAGCAACGTTTCTGCAGTTTTGAAAATTCCACAAATCCAGCAATTATCTTGACTGAAAGCTAATGTTCCTCCAAATTTCACCTGTGGACAGCCTCGCCCTAGAAAGCCATGTGCAGAAGTGTGCCTTGGGTGGTGTTGTCTGTCCTGAGTTTTGTCTGGATCACGGGTTGTGGAAGTGTTTTGCTCCTGTCTAACTTCTCCCACATGTAAACCTCTCCGCTATGTCTTCACCGTTCCAGCTATGTCTGCTATGCGGGGTGCGTGTTTGTTCTGGTGTCTTTCCTTCCCAGGGTCTGAGGTCAAGTGGGAGTGAGTGTACTTCCTCCTTAAGGTTTGAGTAAAGACGAGTGTGTGTCTTAAACATACAACGCCTTAAATATACAACGTCTTAAACATACAACGTCCGCACATGTCTGTTTACATGAGAACAGGAGCTAGCACGTTGGCAACCTGTAATGCACGGTATTGTACATAGTCAATGACTACAGAAAGCGAATCAGGATAAAACGCTTTCTTTAGCTTACAGGTTTTTGTTTTCCCTGCTTGGGAGTGTTATTTGCTAGGCAGTGCAGCATCCAGTACTGAACGTTAGGAAGAAACATCAGACGTCATTTTCCATTATGATACATCAACTGCTTTGTCATGTGCAGTCACCTTATTACTATATTAGCCCAACACGGCGAGAATGTAAAGTTACAAGACTGTGTGGAAAATAGCAGTTCCTTTGTTAGAATGTCATCTTCCCGGCTGATCTAATATTTGTTGGCACATTTAAAAGTAGAGCTAAGGCCGACTTTAGACTGACGACGGTATACGATCGCACGACAATCGTTGTGGGCGACGGCTGGCTTTAGACACATGACCAGAAAGCGTGGCGGACACCCGCAGCGCAGGATGGCACGCCGCGCGCCAATTCAAAATGGCGAGAGAACCCCTTTATCGGCATGCTGCAGCAGATTGTTTTTATTCTGCTTTTAACTCGTTGTCCTGTTGATGAGACGCCGAGTTTGTGCCCAGCAAAGAAGGGGTATATGGCACATGTACCGAGCGGGGCAATAGTCCGGGTTTGAACCCGGCGTTCGGTGCTGCCGTCGGCCTGGCTACATTGGCCGGGAAATGTGGATCGGCGGATCGGTTCGTACTGGAGAAGTAGCGATTGGTGGCAGGGGATTGTACTAGACACGTATGACGATATAAAGTCTTTGGTTTGTCGACATTTAATGATACAGGCGATGTGCTTGGACATGAAATAACGCTTGCAGGCTTATTTGCATAAGGCCAATGACCTCCCTCTTCCTTCGCCGGCGACGGTTCACTTTAGACGGTGGAAAATCCTCCTCGGACCCCCCGCTGAAGGATCGCACGATAGGGTCCGAGGTGGTAGTGACGACGATTCGAGGATTACCGTCGTGCGACTATTTTGATCGTCTTTAGACGGTGGTAAAATACCGTCGCCGGCAACATCTTGACGATAAACATTCGTACGACTATCGAACCGTCGTCAGTCTAAAGTGCCCCTAAGAAAGGTACGTGTATTAGCCAAAAGTTGCATCACCCACATAAAGTATGAAACTAACAGCTCCTTCGTTAGAACGTCCTTTTCCTGAGTAATCTAATATTTGTTGGTGCATTTAAAAGTAGACAGAAGTCAGTGTGGAAAGGTACGTGTCTTGGCCACACGTTGCATCACCCACATCATAATGGGCCGCAGTATGAATACATAAGAGGAACTGTGATGATGCAACTGGCTGTTTGTTATCGAGCTTTCCCTTCCTGCCATTCACTACCGGTACACTTTTCCTGGTAGGGAACAAGAAGCAACGATGAGTCAGTTGCATGAGCTTGCCTGTAAAAACTCACTGCATGAAGGCTTAATGCGACCCTGGCTATAGACATCTGTTTGAGTTTTATTTCCGGATTGGGTCTCTAACCAAACTTTCGAGTCTGACACGGTTAAGGCCGACTTTAGACTGACGACATTATACGATCGCACGACAATCGTTGTGGGCGACGGCTGACTTTAGACACATGGCCAGGAAGTGTGACGGACACCCGCAGCGCAGGAGGGCACGCCGCGCGCCAATTCAAAATGGCGAGAGAACCCCTTTTTTTCGGCATGCTGCAGAAGATTGTTTTTAATCTGCTTTTAACTCGTTCTGTGGATGAGACTCCTAGGTTGTGCCCAGCATAGAAGGGGTATGAGGCACATGTACCAAGCGGGGCAATATACTCCGGGTTTGAACCCAGCGTTCAGTGCTGCCGTCGGCCTGGCTATATTGGCCGGGAAATGTGGATCGGCAGATCGGTTCGTACCGGAGAAGTAGCGATTGGTGGCTGGGGATTGTACTAGACACGTATGACGATATAAAGTCTTTGGTTTGACGGCATTTAATGATACTGGCGATGTGCTTGGACATGAAATAACGCTTGCAGGCTTATTTGCACAAGGCCAATGACCTCCAACTTCCTTCGCCGGCGACGGTTCACTTTAGACGGTGGAAAATCCTCCTCGGACCCCCCGCTGAAGGATCGCACGATAGGGTCCGAGGTGGTAGTGACGACGATTCGAGGATTACCGTCGTGCGACTATTTTGATCGTCTTTAGACGGTTGTAAAATACCGTCGCCGGCAACATCTTGACGATAAACATTCGTACGACTATTTAACCGTCGTCAGTCTAAAGTGCCCCTAAATCGATGGGTCGGAGCCAAGAGGAAACCAGACTGTTGGTTCCACATTGCATCAGCCGGTTTTGTAAAACACAGCATGAATATCATTCAATATGAAATGCACAATGTTTGAATGTTCCAGAGAGTACTTTTAAAAGTGTTACTGGTATGTTCGAACAAAAGATTTAGAGAGCCTTTTGAAGTGTTACAAGAAGTCATCGAAAACGTTGATTGTGTGTTGAACTGCACATAGCAGTGTAGTAGTTTTAGTTTTTATTTCCTCATTTCTTCTGGCACGTTTACTGTGAGTTCGTTGACCCCGTGATGATCTGGAATGTAGGAAATGTCGGTCGGTCGTTGGCCGCGTGTTGCATCAGCTTCTCTCCCAAAGCCTGATGGGTCGAGCGGTTCGACTTGTTGTCCTGGTGGCAACTTTTAAGCTGCCATACATTGTACCAGTTACAGTTGTTGAGCAATTGATTGATTGTAACACTACTAAAAACAGTGCTGTTTACTGACGTTCTCCCCCTTAGTTACTTCATGTAGGTGGGAATGAATGAATGAATGAATGAATGAATGAATGAATGAATGAATGAATGAATGAATGAATGAATGAATGAATGAATGAATGAATGAATGAATGAATGAATGAATGAATGGTGGGTTAGAAGGATAGCAGCAAAGCTTCTGATAGTCAGAGCTTGGTGCAACATTAGACAGAATTGCAGACAACGATTTAAGTGTGAAGAGTGTTAAGATTAAAGGGAATTCTAAAAGAAGCATAATCTAATGTTACTACATCAGGTCTGTAGTGCAAAAACATTGTGGAGTTTCCAGAAAAATGTGTGGAATTTTTACATTAAAAAATACTTGAATGTCCTGAATGAATTCTGATGTTTTGTTTTTCCTTTTTTTTTTTGGTCCTTGTTTTTTTTTGCTTCAAAGTCTCATCCCCAGTGTTTGTTTTGCAGATTCTGTTGCCACGGAGAAGTATCAGATCACCATGACGATATCTAAGGTTGCGCAGGCATTTGGGACGCTCCTGTTGGTTGCGGTGATGTCACAGTACATGCTGACTATCTACTCATTCAGCGACAAGCCACAGTACAGGTGGGACAGTGTGTGTTAAGATATTTTCACGGTCGATGTTCAGGAGAACTTGCACTTCTTGTTCCGCCGCTCAGAACCTTTCAGTGTGCCACTAGGTTCTCTTCCAGTTCTCATCAATACACCGTTAACATACCTGTCTCCAAGTCATTTTACAACAACAGCTTCTTTCCCCGAACTGCAAAATTATGGAACTCTCTTCCAAACAGCTGCTTTCCATCCGATTACAATCCACAAAGCTTCAAAACAAAGGTCCACCGCCATCTCCTGACATAACTACATTATACTCACTTAAGTACCTCTAGCTCTATGCCTAGAAGTGGCCAAAAATAATTGGCCTTGCATTGAGCGACACCGTTAAAAAAAAAAAAAGAAGTACAGTAAGTAGTAAGTAGTAGTAATAGTAGTAAGTAGTACTAGTAGTGGTGGTAGCTAGGCCACAGTCACCGATTTAATTAGTTGGTTCTCAGATTTTTTTAGAAAAGATATAAAGCAACAGGGCAGAAAAAAACTGGCCTAGAATATGGTTTAGGAAAGTACCATGTAAACCAGTTCCACCTGTGATAGATTCCAGTTCCACTCCATAGAATATAAGAACTCTTGTAAGTTTTCAGAAATGTTGTCGTTCTTTCTCAAAACAAAGTCCACTGACGCAACCAAACTCACCATTCAGAATTTCAGATGAGGAAAACTTTCCCCACATCACTACAAAACTCAATCCTGTTGTCATTGTTTTGTTGCTTCCTTACCTGACCAGGTCAGACCAGGTGATGTTTACCTGTTCAGTGTGTTGACGTGTTTCTACCTACAACCTCCTCAAGGTCATTGGCCTTTTGTCAAGGTCGTTTGGGCTTTCACAGGAGAAAACATCAACAGGTTTTGTGTTGGGTCCAGTATCAGGTTTTTCTGTATTGTTTGTGGTGTTTTTAGTTGCACGTAGGGCCGGCAGCTGTGGCCTTGGACATGAGGGGTGGTGCAAAAAAAAAGCCAGTTTTAAAGTTTTACATAAAGAAGTTAACTCGAAGCAGAACAGAAACATTTTAAAAGACACAAACGTTTTGTAATTGCTGGTTGTAGATTGTTAGGTCTTTTGTCCCTTTACTTTCAATGATTTCTAACAACAGTTATGTTTACTTTGGAACCGTTCCAACGTTTGTAGCTTAGGATGAAAAGAGGATTGTGATGGTCTCACACAAATAAGCCTGGCGAGACAGAAGCTACTCTGAGTACAGATGTGCATGTACATTACTCTCCAAGCAGATCCTAGGGTGGCAAAAAACAGTATCAAATTGGCCAGGCCAGGGTTGGGTGGCACATTGGACCCTCTCTGGCCAATGCCACCCTAGGATCTGCTTGGAGATTACATTGTACATGTATGTGCTGATTCCAAGGCCCCCTACAGATGTACATAAATGTGCTGCTGATTCCAAGGCCCCCTGGAGTGGCTGCTAAGTTAGGGGGCGGGTCACATTTCGGCATGCTGGTCTAAAAAGGAGGCTGTCGGTCGTAAAGTAGCCATAGTTGTACCACCCTGCTGCTGCAAGTATTGCTCAAAGGTTGCATCAGCCCACTCACACCCACTATCCAGTTTATACGGACAAAAACTGCACCAGGGATTCAGCCCACTCACACCCACTATCCAGTTTATACTGACAAAAACTGCACCAGGGATTATGGAGGAATATTAAACAACAGGGAGGGGTAGAATGAAATTACAAAATGTTAACAACAAAATTTGGAGATAATTTGCAGCAATTCTGAAGATGATAATTTATATTTGAAGATGGAATTTTTAAAAATTTTTGTCAGCGAAAAGTGAGCAGTCAGATTTCAGCTGACACAAACGTGAACTTGACCCCGGTTCTTTACGAGCGTGGTTCACGCAGCGGGCAAGGAGAGAAGGGAGGAGTTGCCATGAGAGAAGCGGGAGTTGTTCTGTATGGGATGACCACCGGGCTCTTATACAGGTTTTAGAGCTTGTTTTCTGAGGGAAGTGTCAGCTGACAGGCAAGTTGCAAGGAACACGAAGTTTATTAATTTAAAACCTCCTGTTCCCCCTTTCCCCATGTTCCTGTTGTTTAATCATCAGAACAGAGCTGGTTAGTTATAACCTCCCATGTCCCTCTCAGATTCCTGCACACCACGAAGAAAAGCAGAGTTCGTTAGTTTGAAACCTCGTTTGTTCCCCATTAGGTTCCTGCCGCAGGATGTCACCATCTGAGGGCAAAGTTCGTTAGTTTGAAAGTTCGTTAATTTATAACGTTGTTTGATCCCCGTTAGGTTCCTTCCGCGGCACATCACGAAGAAGACAATCCGGGGACAGACGTACCACGTACATGAGGTGGATCCGATGTCGCCCAGTCTGCGGGAAAAGTACCAGCATCGTCGCGTTTTGTCCGTGTCTCACAGCGGCGCGAAACTCCGCCCGCAGAAGGAGATGCTGGACTATCACCGCGGGCGCTGGAGGCCCGAGGCGCGGCCGCACGAGCCGCTGGTCGCTCCGCTGGGCGGGACTGGCCGCGGGCTCACCTGCAACACCTGCGCTCTGGTGTCTAACTCGGGTGAGAACTGCACACACACACCTGTAACACCTGTAACACCTGCACACACACCTTTAACACTTGTGCACACAACTTTAACACCTGCACACACACCTTTAACACTTGTGCACACAACTTTAACACCTGCACACACACCTTTAACACTTGTGCACACACCTGCACACACACCTTTAACACTTGTGCACACACCTGCACACACACCTTTAACACTTGTGCACACACCTGCACACACACATGTACACTCACCTGTATACTCACCTGTAACACCTGCCCCTGGTTTCTAACTCAGGTGAGTCTGTAACACACCTGTAACACCTGTGCACTCGTCTCTAACTCAGGTAACACCTGCACACACATCATTCTGTACATATACATGGAAAATGGATTGAAGGTGTAAAAACAATCTGATGTTCCTATAGATTTTAATCGCCGTTTTTAAATGTACCTTTTGTCAAAACAAGCCTCAAAATTCGGCCATCGTGGCTGCCAGTAAGCTTGTTAGTGTACCTGTACCTTAATTCCATGCTCTTGTTTGCTGAATAAACAAGTCTACTACAACTACTACATTGTAATGGAAATGGCAAAACCATGGAAAAATGCAAATACATTTTAGCACAGAAAAAAATGTATAAAGCTTAATGTCCGGATCCTTTTATCCAGAAACACTGTACAGCCAGTTAACCCCAGTTAAATCCAGTTATTTCTGCAGAAACTGGGACAACAGAACTTGAGTAGGCTAACACAGGATGGGTCTAATCATATTTACTCTGTTGTTGGAGGAAACTCGGTTCCTGAGTTGGGATTGACGTCAGATTAGCCAGACTGACGTCAAACTAGTGGGAACAGGACCAGGGGAGTTGAGCTCGTTAAGCTCGTTACGGTCTGATGTCAGGAAATAATTATCCTGGGCTCCCAAGAAACAGGACTGTTCAACTGCAAGATTAGGGGGTGGACAAAACTGTTTTGATGGAATACCTAGCCTGCCTGCAAGTTTAAGCCTTAACAAGAAAAATTCTTCACAAATCAAACAAATTCAAGACAGCATCAAAAGTCAAATCTTTTATGGTAGCAAAGGAAATTTCGAGCCTAGATTTTGTACCTGACTTGTGCAGGTGTTTCCGCTAAGTTCTTTGTAACTGACTTGTGCAGGTGTTTCCGCTAAGTTCTTTGTAACTGACTTGTGCAGGTGTTTCCGCTAAGTTCTCAAATTGTAACTGACTTGTGCAGGTGTTTCTGTTTAGTTCTTCAGCCTGCCAGGAATTAGGTTTGAGGTTGTCTCAGGTTTAGGGAAGCAGCAGCGATGATGGCAACATATTCGTAAAAATACAACGTAGGCACGAACAAAACATACAGATTCACAACAATTACAGTATGTACAACACATAAAAACTAAGTCTGTATTTGGCTGTTATAGGGTCTGATAGTGTGGGTGCAGAAACAAACTCTTGCACAGGTGTTCCTACTTAAGTTCTTCAGCCTGCTGAGGAAGGAAGTCTGAAGTCTGACGTTTAGGGAAGCTGCGATGTTGACAACAACACAGCTGGACTTGGTTCTAATCCCAGATTTGGGAATGAAACCCTTAACTCTGGGTCACGGGGTCACCCGTGGAATCCTAGGCTGATTTTAAACGGAATCTGAGCTGGAATTCTACCCCAGGCAAAATAAGGACAGGTGTTGGTCTTAGGAGTGTTTTTGCCAAAGATTTTAGCTTTATCTACTTCAATTTACACCTCTGAAAACAAGTAGCTCATATGAACCACTTAAACATGTTTTGGGTTACATTAAGGACAGATATTTGTTCACCCTGGACTTGAAAAAGGTTGTTCCCATTTGGGAAGCATTCACAGGGTAGCTTGTTCCAATATATTTAGTGATGTAGTTCTAAGAAGCTTTCAGTGTGGAACTTCCTCCTAAGAGATGAGGAAAATGGCGGATTTTCTTCCCGAGTAGTAGTACCTAAAATACATTAAGTCAGGACAAGGGGCAAGGAGAATTTCAGTAACCTGAAATTTGAAAAAAAATAAAAGGTACCAAAGTAAAACTTAAAACCAACACAGATGAACTTTCATGATAGTATACAAAGTAAAGCTTTTGTTGCTGTAACATGGCATGTAACAAAAGTTGTTGCTGCACTTCCCAGGCCAGCTGCTAGGTGGCTCCCGTGGCAGTGACATCGACGCCGCGGACTGCGTGTTCCGTCTGAACGCCGCGCCGACCGCCGGCTTCGAGCGCGACGTCGGGGAGAGAACAACAGCCAGGGTCGTTTCTCACAAAAGGTACAAGATCACTTTCTTTTCCAAAATCATATCCAGTTGCTTGAGTAACTGTTTTTTGGCTTATCTTATTACCTGGATGTCTAAGTTTTCAGAAAGAATCCCGGGAGGCAGAAGACTGTACTACTCGCCCCCCTGTACGTGTTTTAGTGGTTCAACAGTCAAACATTTGTCTCCTTTTCCCGCCCCAGTTTGACCAGCCTGTACCTGAACTCCACGTCGGTGCTGGGTGGTTCCAGCGAGCCGCCAGAGGTCTTCGTGCACGGTCCGCAGTACGCGTTTGGGAACGCTCGCACGGCCAAGCTCCTGCGGAATCTCGGGGAGAAGTTCGGTCGCGTCGAGTTCTACCGATTCACGCAGACGGCCGAGGCACGGGCTGATGAGGAGTTCGAGAGGCAAACGCAGAAACCCAGGTCAGAACTCGCTGTTTTAGCTGATTTTTATGTTTACCGAAGGAAAACATATTGTTTTTGCTCTGTTTCTTCCTCTTCTTCTTCTCCAAACAGTGACCTATGACCTGACGATGATTTGTTGACGTATGTCACCATAGTGACTGGTGTTGGGTTACATAATGTTGCAATTTCATGGTCTGCTCTGCTCCTGTCACCATATACTAGTAGTAAAATGTATTTGAATGTGTTTGAGTAAGAATTAACAGAGCAGACCATATGCGAAGGTAAACATTATGCATTTGCTTTGCAAATGTAACTTCTCTAGTTTGTTTTTGTTTTTGAAACTCCTGAGCTGATCTTTTGTTGGCTACAGCATCAAATTGGCAAGACAGTAGTAAAAGAATCTATTCGAAAGTGCTAAAAGTTTGAGAAGCAGTGGCAGAACTCGCAATTTAGCTGATTCATTTTGTTTTTTTGAAGCTCGTTTAATGTCTAATCTAGCTACAAGACAGTATCCAATTGGGAAAAGTGTATCAAACTGGAAAGGTAACATTTGGAAAGCAAATGCATAATGTTTGCCTTCACATATAGTCTGGTCTGTTCATTCTTACTCAAATACTGTAGTACTTTCATATGTATGGTCAGACAGGAGTCTAAATCCCTCCTGCTATAAAATCGCAACATGATGTAACTCAACACCAGTTACCATGGTGACAGACTCCTGTTTGGAAAAGGAGAAGAACAGGAAGAAGGAACAGAGAAAAAACAATGTTTTCCTTCTGTGAAAAATGAAACCCCGTTAAAAATGCCTGACGTGTGTGTGAATAACCATCCTGTCCCCCCCCAGGAGCAAGTCTGGAGTGGAACTGTCCACCGGCTGGTACGCTCTGACGCTGATGATGGACACCTGTCAACACATCCAGGTGTACGGCATGATTCCCCACAACTACTGCAGGTAAACAAACAAACAAACAAACAAACACATCCAGGTGTACGGCATGATTCCCCACAACTACTGCAGGTAAACAAACAAACAAACAAACACATCCAGGTGTACGGCATGATTCCGCACAACTACTGCAGGTAAACAAACAAACAACCTGTTCCTAACAACAGCCTTCGCAGTCCCTCTATTCCTTTCATTTTCTTGCTCCCTTACTCTCTTTCCTTGTCCCTTTCTTTGTTTCCTTCTTACTTTATTTTCCTTACACTTGTTCACCAACTCCATTTGTTGTATTTCCTGGTTTCTCCCTAAGACATTTTTTTGTTGTTGTATTTCCTGGTTCCTCCCTGACTGACATCTCTCGTCTCCCCCAGACTGTACCCGGACAGCCAGGTGCCGTACCAGTACTGGTCCCCAGGGGGCGTCGGTGAGTGTGCCATGTACGAGTACCACGAGGATCCCGGCAGTCAGGGCCAGCGCCTCATCACCGAGCGCAGAATATTCCGCGCCTGGGCCGACAAACACAACATCACCTTCAACCAGCCTGCATGGGTGTAGGGGAGGCTTCAGTTCATACACCGGGAGGGGTGGGGAACAAGGGGAGAGTCACTAGTGTTAGTGGGAGGGGTGCACCTGGGTCCAGAAACACAACATTACCTTCAACCAGCCCGCATGGGTGTTCAGTTGTGTTAGGGGGAGGTTCAGTTCATATGTGGGGAGGGGTGGGAAGCAAGGGGAGATTCACTAGTGCTAGAGGGAAGGGCTGAAATTTACAAGGCACTGCTGAAAAAATAGTAGAAATTGGCCAAAATAAAGGGAATAGTGTACCAGGAGAGTTAGCCGGCCAGAGAGGGTACATTTTGGCCAACTTCTACAATTTTTCCAGCGATCCGCGGTGCCTGGTAGAGGCTAGGGAGTCTCAGAGCTCACTGCTGCCTAGAGCTGGTCACAAACATGTGCAACTAAGCTTTGCTCTAAACTCAGGACAACGTCGTAGAGGTAGCCTGGCCGCTCTGTGCAGACAACCCCCTCTAATTCTAGCAGTAGAATAGACCCCCTTCTAGCTGTAGACCCCCCTCAAACCAGTTATATAGTTCCCACTCTTACATGTAGACCCCCCCCTACAGAAGTTAACCACTCTGCTACAAGAGTACCCCCCCATGCAGACAAGTAGCAGTAGGCCC